CCCCAAAACCCCAAAACCCCAAAACCCCAAAACCCCTTTATTAATTTCATCAATTGAAATTTTATCCGAAAAGCATTTTTATCTTCTGGTTTTCAAGCAGGTATTCGTTATTATCATACTTCACAAATCGCTCATCTGGGAAGTCCTCCACAGTGGTATAATTCGGAAGCTTGGGCTTTTGAATATGTTTTGCATAGTCTATAGCCTTTCCTCTTCTCTCATGAAGTGTATGTAGAGTTTCATTACCAATAGGAAGAGACTTGTTCATTATAGATTTAGACTTTTCAGCTGCTTTCTTCAATGTGTTCTCTAATTTTAGTAATTATTTCACATTAAATGTAAAAAATCTTTTATTAACCTACCTTTAACTCTACTGGAGAAATTTAGCATATTTCTTCTTCTTTCTTGGGCAATCGTCCAGTCTTGATCTTTGTTAAGACCAAGGCCACCAAATTCAATATATTTGTTCGTAACTGCTCCTTTGTAAGGGACATATTTTTCTTTCTCAGTTGGCTCAATTAGGATTTCTTTGGGTTGCTTTTGACTCCTTTTTCTTTCTTTTCTGTTTGTTGTAGGCTCTTTAAGCCTTTTCTTATGCTCTCTTGGGATTATTTTTGACTCAATTTCAGCTGCCTTATTAGTATTCACTACTGAAGCAGATTTATTTATGCAACTGATCTCTGCTCTTTGTTAGATTCGTATTCTTCTCAGATACATTTGGCATTATATTTTCAATTAATCGAGATGAACCATTATTATTGCTCTTCCCAAGTATCTGAGTGAGAAGGTCAAACTTTTTCTTCCGAAGGTCAGGGAAAAGATAAGCGAACTTATTGACATGCTTCTCTACTGATTCCACAACTTCTTGGTATCTCTTAGACTCTTCTCCGTTGGATAATCTTTTAGTTACTGGGGCTGCTAAAGATAAATTTACAGCTTCTTTTCTTTTATCTATGAATTTATTCAAGAGACCTTACTTCTCTGTCTTTTTGTTAAGTTAAGCTTTTTCTTTGGGGGAGTATCCTCCAAAGAAATGTCTTCAGCAATTACTAGTGACTGTTCAGTATTTCCAGATCCTTTAAGAGATAACTTCTTCTTAAAGGTATTTGAATCGACTGAGTAAGAATGATTCCTGTGATGAGGCTTTCCTTTGACTTTTTGGTTAATTTTTTCTTCTCCAGTACGAATTTTATCTCTTAAAGTATTTTCCAAAGCAATTCGGTTTTTGTAAATACTAGAAAATGGGCTTTGGTTGCTGAAATTAGAGGCATTGCTACCACCTAGTTTTGGAAAAAGATTTCCTTCATTTTCCCTTCTGCCAAACATAATAGGAGGCAATTTTGACTTTCCGCTCATTTCACTACCTAAGAATAAAAATAAATGATGATTTCCTAACTTACCATGCGTAATACTACTTTCAACATTCCTTAATGATCCATCTCTACAATATAATGCCCACACCATACTGTAAACTATTGATATAAAACGATTCTTCACTTGACTGGATAGATTTCTCTCCCAAATTGGACAGATTTTTCTTAAATTTCCTATACAAAAACTCATAATTCCGTTTAAATTTCTGTAGGACCCTCTCTTACCCCTCCTACTACCCCTGTGCACCCAGGCTACACCCTTCCACCTCTCGTATGCCCCCTCCTTCCTTGTACTTACCCGTGGATGCTCAGCGGGACTTCTTGGGAAGGTAAATCCCTGTTCTTATACCTTATATTTTCATTATCCATCTTTAATAATTTATGTTACCTCAAAAATAATGTTACCAGTTGGGGTTTTGGGGTTTTGGGGTTTTGGGGTTTTGGGG